AAAGCAGCAAGTCCAATACAGATACAACGCGTTGTGTCTGATTACCAGCGAGACCTTCCAGACCAACTTGTTCTCGGCATTACAATTTCACCTTTGAAGTCGAATTTCTCGCAAGGATTTAGATACTAAGACGGACAGATACTGAAATACACAGAGCATTAATTGGAACAATCCATTTTCTCCTTGTGTTCTCATAAAAAATATGCATAGAATGACCGTAGTCAACGAAGCTCGTACTGGCCATAGTCCGGCCGTTGAATTCCCGTGCCACGTGACCAGCCGCTAGGGAACAACCGGCATTCCGACTTCGACCTTTGCAACGCAACTTCAAAGAGGGATAATCCAGCCTTTGCACGTCATCCACCACTGCAAAATGAGCTCCTTCCGCTTCGCTCGCTCAGCCCTCCGGGCTCGCCCTTCTTTCCTCGGTGCTCCCGCCCAGCGCCGTGGTTACGCTGAGGCCGTCGCCGACAAGATCAAGCTGTCCCTGACTCTGCCTCACCAGGTGCGTGAACGAACTCCGGCCGGCATCCCAACATCATAACCTAAGTACTGACTTGATAATTGATTGACAGACCATCTACCGCTCGACTGGCGTGTATGTTATGCTTCCACTTGCGCCCGCGTCGACGGTGCCTACGTCCTTCCTAAACACTGACCAACCTCCGCGATTACAGTACCCAGGTCAACATTCCCGCCGCCTCCGGTGAGATGGGTGTCCTCGCCAACCACGTTCCCTCCATCGAGCAGCTCAAGCCCGGTCTCGTCGAGATCCTTGAGGAGAGCGGCGCCAACAAGCAGTACTTCCGTACGTCCAATCCTCGCGCCCTGAGACATCCCGCAAATCTGGTCCTTTGTCAATTGGAATCGATCGACTAACAATAATGTTCCTGTATAGTGTCCGGTGGCTTCGCCGTTGTCCAGCCCGACTCCCAGCTCAGCATCAACGCTGTTGAGGGCTTCCCCCTTGAGGACTTCAGCGCCGATGTAGGTTATCTTCCTTTGCAACGTCGCGACTCGAGCTAACTGGAACTTCCTTGCTAGTCCATCCGCGCCCAGATCGCCGAGGCCCAGAAGATTGCCAGCGGCAGCGGCAGCGAGCAGGATATCGCTGAGGCCAAGATTGAGCTTGAGGTATGAACCCGCGGGGACCTACTGGGCTGGTTAAATACTGACTTTTCTTGAACAGGTTCTCGAGACCCTGCAGGCCCACGTCAAATAGACTTGATGTACATAACAATTATCGCTCTAACTATGAACCTGTAGAATTCTAGCAATTCTCCATTTCCCCCTACCTAATTATACTTGCTTATCATATCATTTTCGTGTCTCTTTCTTTGCGCTCTCTGGTCATGCATGGTTCGATTTTTTCGACGGCCAAGGAGATTGAATACGCGGCATTTCCTTTCTATTTGTTCCTTTTCTCTTAATTTCTCTTAGTGTTTGTCTCTGTCTCTTCCATGTTTGGATGGGGGCGTTCTGTGACACTTACGATCGCTAATTATGTGTCTCGCTTTTATTACTTTAGCTGGGTTTTATCCCGTTAGCTAGATAGATAATCCTGTACTCTTCTTTATCTCTTTCCCTTTAACCCTACCCATAAGCGATGTCAATCCAGACCAACCAAAATTTCACACATGCACGATACTGCCACGCTATGCATAACCATACTCCAGATCGACCACAAGTACTCGGTAGTACTAGCACCCCCTGCTAGACTATGATCATGTGGACTCACACATGGGCATGCGTAGATGGCGTAGTTTCATAGACCCTGACAGATCGACATGACAGAAAGGTTCGGAAGCCATGGGACTACGACATACTAGGAGAACAAGACTTAACTAGACCATTCATCGGTAGACGCGCGTTGATGTGATTTGAGGAGGATTGATGCTATTCCGGACGGGGGTGTCCTTAGTAGTTACACGTTATAGGATAGCTGTAAAGGAAAAGCGTTATGGAGATGGCATCCAGGATCTTGATGTATATTTAACTTCTTTGTTCCGAGTTTCTTTGTTGTTTACCGAGGATCGACCATGTGAGCACTGCATGTACCAGAAGAGGACTCGGAGACTAGGTGGATGCATCATCGTGACGATCACGATTCAGGGAGTCCCGTCAGTTTCTTGTTCTTCAGGTCTTCGTTATCATACCGAGCCCTGCCGGCACCATGTCTGTTATTTCTGCAGAAGTTGCGGTGTTTTTCCAGAACAAGGGGCTTCTAGGACCGGCAAAGAACAACAAGCGCACAATATCAGTGACGGCGTTATCCAGTCCGGCAACATCCCGATCATCCTCTTCCTCGTCCAATTCGATAGATCGCACTAGCTTTTCGGCCACCTTCGTCAACGTCTCACGGGACGAGATTGAGCTGCCGCAAGATTTGACAAGTGGTGAAACCTACGAGTTCATTGGATTTGACAAGGAAACCGCCGGTAAATTGTGGGACCAGTATCTTAGCCGCCCAATTGGCGATCCCTTGGATCCCTTCGACTTTGACTTTATGGATTACGCCAGGTCCCAGGTGAAGAATTCTACGGTGCCCGATGTGCTCTCTGTTACTGATGATTGGACGCCAACGATGGCTGCCCTCGGGATCAATTACTGTTTACAACAATCGATCCTCCATCCAGATTTTGATGATGTGAGGGCCACTGCAAGTTGCAAGTTCTGGTTGTTGGATTCTATGGAAATGGCCTTCAAGACGCTCGAGGGCCTGAACGGCCAGCTACGGCAAGAACTGGAGCGGAGACAGCGACTAACGATACTCGGTGTCAGAGAGAAATCGCCATTTAAGTCTCTGAAATCAGCTGCCAAAGAGACCACCATACCCAACGAATGCCCGGCGACTGATATAGTGGCTGAACAGGAAGCGCCTGCGCGCCTCATCGGCTATACAATGATATGGCGGGCATGTCTTTTGTCTGAAGCAGTTGAATGCTGTGAGAGCCGTCCAGGAGAACTTCAAATTACCCCGGTCTGTTCAAGGCCTGGGGACTTTAGTGGACGTACTGCGGTTGCGTATTTTTCACCTGAACGAGAAACCGCCGATCGGTATGCAGCGTACAAGAAGCATAGATTCTCAATCGCTGAGCTTGCAATATTACAAGTTGCGGTGCCAGATAGTCTCATGCAGAGCTTGTCAGTTAACTATCTGTGGGCTGATGGGGTGAGTGACTTGTGGAAGAAGGTGGTTTGGAATTGCAGGCGTGGAGACCGGTTACCAAAGGATCTGAGGTATATGAGAAATAAAGACCTCTGGATAGGGCATATTGCCAGGTCCAAGAATGTCAAATTTGAAACGATGGAGAGCTGCACTCAAATCCAGTCCTCAGATGCTCCGGTCGTTCAGATTAACGGTGAGCGGCGGAACGCCACCCAATGGGTATTTCACAGTGACCATGCCGAAGAACTCTTTGCCCAGTGCTGCAAAGGAAAGACCTGGATCCATTCCATTGGCAAACTGGTCGAAGTTTTCAAAGAGTAGCTCAGTAGCTCTCTTTCGGCGTCTTTTTCCTTGTGTCTATATCCTACCTAGGTATACGGTAGAGGTGGGAGCGCACCTTCCCAACCTGGGAGTTGAGCACCTGACTTGCCCATCTCATCTCCAACGACCATCGAATTTCATTTTCAGCTGACCGTGCAAGCATGGCATTCGCCAAATCACTCAAGTCAGACCCTCTCGGCATCATTGATACTCGACTGACGATGACGGACTCACCTACGGATGGCTTCTTTTCACCTCTCTTTGAGCCATTCACCGGCTTTACGCCATTCACCGGGTTCGATGGAGCTGACAAACGACAGCCAGGCAGCCAAACAGAAGCAGAAGCAAGCCCAAAGCAAGCTCACCGAATCCTCGAACTTCGCGAGTCATTCCGTGGTTTCGATTCCAGCCGAAACTGTCCTCGACTTGAGTTGGATGTCGCTGTGGATAAGTACCACACTCTTGACGGCCTCGCTGAACCCTTGAATCCCCAAAACACGCCGGCATCAAATAGCGAACGAGGAAGCACAGAGGAATATACCGAGTCATTTCGTCGCTATCAAATGGAGAACCTACGGAGGAGTCCTACACCTCAGACGGAGGAGTTCAATTTCGATTGTTTCCAAGATTCGCCAGAGGCGAGCTTTGTTTGCCAAGACGATGAAAGTGAATCCGAAAAACCCTCAAAGTTGCGACGCCTTTCCGTTGGCCGCCGACAGTGGATCAAACCTCCCATTACTGCCCTGGCGAATCATCAGCCAGGCATAAATGCGAACTTCAAGGAACCCGGCAATCCAGGTTCACTGCTGCGGTCCGTTCGATTTTCTCCTCCTGCGGCCTCTCTGTCTCCGCCTTCTCGTGCGGCACGTCGTCCCCTACCTTCGATTGAAAGAGGGCAAGATTATGTTGCTTTGCATCGACAGAAGAAACAATACCGGAAATGGAAGGTCGCTGGCCGCGCGAACTCTCGCAAATGCTCACCATGCAACAGCCCTACAAAAAGAACGCAGTCTCTGGCAGCTCGCATCCCAAAGAACCATGATATGCGCAACTCGTCCCTTTTCAGCTTGCCTGATCGTGAAACACGTCAAATGGCGTTCCCCACTCGTGTTGCCCCAGGTGCTGATGCCCGGGAAGTGAGAACCAGCGAGGTGGTCGACACTCCTGTTGCAAGTGACTCGAACATTGCGGGTAAAACTGAGCGGAACCTCCCTGCATTTCTTGCTGTTTCCTTTTCGCTTTACAGAATCCGACCTGCGCCTAGTTCATCCAGTAAGAAAGCCCCAAAGTACGCTTTCAGATTTCGAATGACTCGAACTGATCTCCCTCAACAACCTTCTCCGCATTTCCCTACCAAATTCGAAAATCTCGCTTGCCACCCGATCATTGATGACTTGCTATTCCACATCTGCTTCATCATCCCTGCGATAGTTGTGCTGCTCCCTCTCAATGTCGTCTTCATTGCGACATACCCATTGACCAACACCCGAGTCGGCGCTGTAATGCTCTACCTGGTCAGAGCTTTACTGTATCTACTGATCAACATTATCATTTTCGTTTTGTTCAAATGCGGAGTGACTTGCGGATGCCAGTGGAATCCAGACACCGGCAATTCGGGCTGAGTGACTACACACTTACGATGGTGAGCAATTGAGGTTGGACAAGATCGAGGCGACATGCATATCAGCAGATTCCGTTCGTACTTTCTCGAAGACAATTCGTATGCAGCATATGCTACTGGTATCTCCTTGTTTCCCGCAAACGTGCTTAGTCTTGCTCTATTCGATACATTTTTGTGGCTGAAAGCCAAGTCATGAGTATGAATTAAACAGATTTAATGGCAGCTTCCAAGCCCATAAAAAGCCCATAAATTGCGTCAATTGCTGGAAAGAGCGCCGTAATCATCCGCAATGACCTTTGTCCCAAGAACATACTCATCGTACCTGGCAATCCGGAAAGGGTGGTTCTGATGGAGTTCGATATTGCAAACTTTTCCTAATGAAGGAACTCCGGGACCAGGCCATAGAAATTCGTTCTCCTAGACCAGCACAGGCCTGCAATTTTGAGGTTGTAATTCCCAGAAGTATTGGAAGACACCTGCTTTGTCTCATTCTTCCTCTGGGTTTTAAATGTCCCTAATGATGTGATTAGGAGGGAGATCAAAGAGAGGGACTTCCTCCCAGTACGAAGTTTTACTGGACATAGTTCTTCCTGTCCTATCTCTTTTCTTTGGTAGATGATACTATATTGATAATAAAGTCAAGGGTGGACATATGTATGCTGGTATCGCTAGATAAGATGAGAGGCTAGTATTTGAGCCACCTGTACCTACCTAAATGCATGTAGGTAATAGTCAATATATCGTCAATATGACAGTGCTGTGGCTTTAGATACGTGAAATGAATTTCAAGCGTCTACCTCATGGAATCTGTAAATGAGTACTGCATGTCAGGGTAAGAAGTAAACGCCAAGGGCTTAATGTGCTGCTGAAGTATGTCAGTGAATTGATCTGCTCTGCATAGCCTTCAACTGACCGTGCTAGTGGGCCCTATATCCTAGTGCTGTCACTCCTATAGGACTGACTACAAACTCTGACATTAAGTCTGTGATGTATCTCTTGTTATTGTATTCTGATCCAGCCATATATATATTATTGCATAAGAAGGGACTGCGGTTTCCCTACACAACCCCCTCGTTCTTCCCGCCACCTTCATCTGCCAAGGTTACCAGCAAACCCACTTAACATCGCCCACCCGGACACCCAACACCGATCCCAAACCTCCCCACATCAACCCCTAACCCTTAAGAACAGCATTAACCGTCCCCCCAATACCCTCTCCGGCCATGCACCTCGCCGCAACTGCATACCCATACCTCTCAAACTGTCCCGGGCGCCTCGCGCCCCAGACATGCGCCACCAACGCACCGACAAGCATAGCCGTCCCGTACTGCGTGGAGGGTAACGTAAACGCCAGTGCAACGACCCTCATACTCGGCTGGAAGGCCTGGACTTTCTTCCAGGATCGAATCCAGACGAAGTTGTTTAGGAGGATCATTGTGCTGGTGAGGACGGCCATGTAGGCTGAGAAGTGGAGGCTGCTGGCTGGGATTGCGGAGTCTGAGCGTGTGACGGCGATGGCGACGGTGCGCCAGGCTGAGGCGCGGGGGCAGAGAATTCGCAGTTAGAGTCGAGGGAGGGGCCGCTTGATGATCCTTCAGTGGAGAGGATACAAGGGTAGGCGTTTGCGAAGAGTAGGCACATTGTTGGTGCGATTAGTGCCGCGATCAGAGTGCCTATCATTTGGGCTGCGTATTGGGTTTTGGGTGGTGTGCCGAGTAAAAATCCGACGCGGAAGTCGCCCATTAGATCTATAAGAATGGAATGCTATCAGCAAGCCGTCCTAATTTGTATTATGGCGGTATTCCATACCACAAGCCTGATTCGCCCCGATATTCGTAAGCGCACCCCCGAGAAGATTCAACCGCTGCACATTCTCAATACTACCGCCAGTGATTCCCTGTGTGGCTACGCCGAGCGTTACTGCGAGACTTTTGTGAGAGCTGTGAGGGGTGTTGTATCGGTCGCGCCGGTTGTGTATATTGCCAGGAGTGAGAGGATGAATGCCAGGGCGAGTGCGAGGAGTGTTTTGAGGATTGTCATGTTGAATTGGGTGGTGATTATGAGGCAGGTTAGGAGGATTGTTGCTATTAGGCCGGGAGCCACATCTCAGTTTGGATTTTTTTGTTGTTCACGGTTGGCCTTTTGTTGAGGATTTTGTAGCTGTAACTCGAACGGATGCCAGAGGCTGCGGATTGGTATTATGATGAGGCGCCATTGGCAGATTCTGTTGAAGTTAGTATCCCCTTGGGATAATAGAGAGGGTAGGATCTGGTGGCTGCGCACCGATAAATGCCACTGTGACCATGGTAGTAACACCAGGCCAAAGAAGCCAGTACCGAGGACTCGGATGATTTGCGTCAGGGAACCCGGTTGATAGGGAGAAATATGAGACTGCCTGGTCGGACGCAGGCTCTGTTCCGAATGCAAGGCTATGAGAGACGATATATGGCCCGACAACTCCCCTGAGAAAGATTCGATGAGCATGGAATCCACGAATTTGCGCTACAGCTCACCCGTGGATCATATGCCATTGCAGAGTCTCATGCGATACCATCGTCATGGTCTCTTATCAGCACGAAGGAAGATTCGACCCTTCTGGTCGTTCCTTTCCTGATGTCGCCACTCAAGGATATCGACATGTGACTGTGTGGAATGGAACGACGAGGCTCGTGGATGGAACTTCTGCCTCTGCACCCACCTTCGCGGCGATCGTCGCGTTGGTCAATGATGCACTAGCCACGGAAGGGCTTCCTTCAATGGATTTTCTTAACCCATGGTTGTATTCAGAAGGGTGGAAGGACTCCACCGACGTGACGGAGGGATCTATCCCGGGTTGCAACACAACCGGCTTTCCCGCCATGAAAAGTTGGGACGTTGCCAGTGGTTGGGGCAGGCCTTGGTTTCCCAAATTTAAGGAATTGGCACTTCAAAGAAGATTCGCGACCCAGTTGCCGTGGTATATGAAATGGACGGGATGGTAGTAGTGATATCTATCATCAGACATTGAATCCAAGCTAAAAAGACCTTCCCTTTCGCTCTTTGCTTTCCTTTAGCTCTTAGCCTAGCGCCGTACACCCATATGATAAAAGGTGCCGGCACCCCAAATCCAATCAAAATGAACGCCAAAGCGCTATTTCCCCATCCGTACCCCAGGCGGTCATATAACGCTGGGGCAAAGATGGGAAAGCAGAATCCAAAAATGCTTCGCAAAAACTGGCTGGATGCATTCGCCGAGGCGACATATTCGCGGTATGACTCCATGACATACTGCTGCATAGCTTGAGTGCTGAGGATGACTCCACACCCGAATACTGCAGCCCCGATATCAACGACAATCCACGGAGCCATTACGTCCGCCGCCCAGCCGTACCAAAATAGACCAGCCAGCAGAAAGACCATACCGGGGATCATGAGTGGAATCCGATATTCAGGCGCCGTTTGTCCTCGCTTTCGCGTCAGGTAATTCCAGAGCCAATCCGTGATGCGAGCACCACCTTGCGCGGCAACGGTGTAACCGATCACAATAGCAACATAGTGAACACCGCTGATAAGGACCGACTGATGGTACTTATCTGTCCACAGCGAAGCAAAGCTGGTCAGAACCAAGAACAGCACACCGTAGTTATAAGCCAGGAAAATCGCCATAATCTGAATCGTCGGCTGGGTAGCCAACATCCAACACGGCCGCGCCAGACTATATCCGAGCTTCCTCAGCAACGGCTGAGCATGCACCTCGGACTCAGCCCGATACGACCGCCCCGTCTCCTTCTGCAACCTCAACGCCTTTCGATGAAGTAGGAGCCGATGATACGTCTCCGGGAAAAACAGGATCGCATAAACAACAAGCACCCCATCAAAAATCGACAGCACCCAAAAAAGCCACCGCCACCCAATCTTCTCCGTAATGATCCCGCCGAGAATCGGCCCAATCGCCGGACCCAGCAATGGCACAAAGGTCGCAATCGCAAACGATTGACCCCTTTGTTCCGCCCGCCAACAATCCGCCAGCACAGGCGTGGTAATGGCATACTCAGCGCTGGCACCAATACCACTCAGAATCCGGCCAGCGAGGAGTAGACCCCGCGTGTGGGAGAAGCCGCAAACGGTATTCCACAGGATGTACCAGGTCGACGAGAGGATCCAGACCCAGCGGCGGCCGAAGACTTCGGCGAGGGGCGCGAGAACCATAGGGCCGAAGGCAAAGGCTAGGACAAAGATTGAAACGACCATGTTTGCTTCGCTTTCGGTGATTGAGAGGTCGGTGCTTATGGAGCCCACTGCTGGGGCGAGCATTGAGGCGCTCATTAGCGTTACCATCCCCCCCATGAAGATTACACTCAAGAGCTTCAGGGGACGATTGACGGCGCCGGTGAATATCTCAATAGCATCAGCAATGACCTTGCCAAGTTGAAGGTCTAACTTCTGAAGGTTGTCCTGTTGGTCTGACGAGGTGGTAAGCATAAGGCTGGAATACGATGAGAATAGGTTTTTATGAGCCTGTATAGCTTTTGCAGTAATGTGGAATAGAGTGGAAAGTATTAGTATTATCAGATCAATGAATGATCTATTCGTAGACATGAAGAGACTTATAGGTAAATCTGTCCAGGGCTCAACTCCATAACCCCATGGCCGTTTTTTTCAGTGCTCCTGCCCAATGGGTTCGGGCTTATGATGGTCCGCATCTGTCCAGGTCTAGGAAGCCGTAGGCCTCTCTGGGACTTCACCTTCTCACGCTTTCTCTCCTCTTCCCAGTAAGGATATTTTCACTCGCATTTCAATATCGTATCATCCCTGGTTATCGCCGGGTCAGCGATTCTCGATAATTATTCCAGTCACTCCCTTCCTTTCGACTACAGTTTGAATTTCCTGTCAATACCAGATAGCATTCATTGCAAATCGGCATTGACGACCCTGTCCTTGACGCTTTGGTAGGCTACTGCTTTGTCGTGAAGCACATTCCCGACCGATCCATTGATGTTCATCAGCTCGTTCAAGTGGCAATGATAAACTGCTTTCGGAGCCAAGGGACCTTTGATAAAGAAGCGAAGTTGGAGGTGGAGGCGCAACTCGAGAAACTCCCTTTCCCCACTACTGCTTCTGAAATACAATGGAGAGAAAGCCTCTCACATGCAGAAAGCACATTGTAAATCGCAGAAGAAGCATTTAAACGTACAGATCGAGACTTGGATCTTCCTAACATATTTACATATGGAGAGTCTGGATGGCGACTACTTTACATGGTCGGGCAGGCCAGCTTCATGCTGGGACTGCACGAAAAGATCTGGGACGAGTCGCTCGGATGGAAAGACCACGCGACTGAGGTTGAAGACAGTAAAAAACCCGCGACGGATGGCTCTTCGAAGGATGAGCTATCCGCGCTTATACGAAGGAGGTGTTGGGCTTGGCAGCTTCTCACTCAGGGACCGCACAAAGAGGGGAGAAAGGAATTATTGGAGGTGTGGCAAGAGGCCAAGAGTCACTTGGGCGAGGCACATCCCCTCACCATTAACACCCTCGATACTCTGGCCAATACCTCGAAGCATCAGGACAAGTATTGATGACAAGATTGCTGAGGTGGCTACAAGACTCGAGGAGGTTCCGCGGCTTAAGAGGGAAACCCTTCCCTCGGATAGCCGATCTACCGTAAAGAGCATTGAGAACCTCGCGGCTGTTTACCAACAGCAAGGCACTTATGACAAGGCCCAAAGATTACTGCAAGAAGCTGCTCCACTCTCTGAGAAGGTGCATGGCAGTGAACATGACTCTACAGTCGCATGGGGGGAGAAACTGAGCCTCTTGGCAGGACTTCAAAAGCTGCAAGAATCAAACGAATAGAGTGCCATTTTACCTAACTCCTCGGTGAACATGCGCTTGGCTAAATAATATGATGAAACAACAAGTAGTAGCGTCTAGGTTGTTACGGAGCAACTGGACGACTCCTCGATGGAATCTGAGCTTGTTACTCTTACGCCTTTTGAATAATCGCCATGGAGTATTAAATTCACTCTCGTTTCCACGATACACAGATCAGAAATGAAGGCATTGCATAGACGGCAAATACCCATACCAAAATAAACACCAAATTCATATCCCAGAACACATTGGAGTCTTCTTACATATAACGTCGCTAGTACGATGTTGAGTCGCCTGGGAAGATTGGCCGGATTAAAGTCTTTCATTGTCAATGATAGTATCTTATAAACGGAAGGCTGAAGGCCTAAATTTTGTAGCGCCTCAATGACAGTCCCATTTTTGTAGGTAAGTTCCTTCATCAAACGGCGGTTTGACCGAGTGGTCTGAGGCGATTGACTGGAACATGCTTAAGATCAAAATCTGGAATCAGGCCCTTTCATTATCAATTCTGTTCGCAGGCGCGTTCGAATCATGCAGCCGTCGTTAAACCTTTGCTATTTTTATTGACAGATTTCCATTGTTTCGCCACAGAAGACCTGATGATGAAAGACGATATAAATGGTCCTTGGTTCATTGATATCCTGGGATTAGAAGCTATGTGATGTAAGCCTCACTCTAACCTTGCAACCTTCCAAGGTTGGAAGAGACATCTTTTATTTTTTTATTTCTGCCCGGTTAGCGCTTTCACTGTGGGGCAGCTTGATGCCAAATGATATCATTCCGGTTATGACAGGCAGTTCTTCAAGAGATAGCTAAATAATAATAGTCGATTGCTGATGTGGCCCATGTCGTTGACGACGTAGGACTTCTGACTTCAACAGCCCGATCTATCTGGCTTGATATGATATTAGAGGCGTTATATTCCGGAATCTTCTACGGTGTTTTTCGAGACGTGTTTCGCCCTTCTTGGTGCTGCAGCGAGAACGATGGGAATAATTGGCCATAAAAAGTGCAGAATGCCCCCGCTGAGAAGCATAATTTCTAGAAAACAACTTTTCTATGCATAACTAGGCATGCACACATGCCATCGAGATGCGACTTACACACCATCTCCGTTCAAGAATAATTTTCCCCTGAAGCGCGGACTAATGGGGTGGTCAAGAGGATGGTTAGGCTTGGATTTGTGAATTGGGAATTGGGAGAGAACGGCGAGATAGTCCTAACGAATCACTTAATCCAATATAAATTATCACTAGAACAGGATTTTGTTATTATGAGGGATAGCATCTAGTATTCCATGGAAAGAGGAAATACAGGCTAACTCAACATGAATTAGTGGGCTTTTGTGAGCGTATAAAGCTTGCCCTAACTTGGCATCCAGTGCCTGTGAAGAGGGTCTGAGATCATCACCTTCTACATATGAGGTCAAATGCAAGGTCTACTGGCACAGAACATTGTCTAAGATTAATCGAATTTCAAAGTCTCTAAATTGCATTTCTGCTCGATTGTAAAAGTCCAAGCGGTAGCAAAAGCATATGAATAAACAATACCCAGATCAGGTATATTGGGACAAAGATGAAGACAAGAAGACTAGCAGAAAAGCCAACCAACAACCCAATAAAAGATCCGTTAAATCGCTGGCATCAGAAAAGGAGACATGAGAAAGGGAAAAGCTAGCTAAAACGATCATTTCATCGCCTCAAGAGCACATCCAAGAAAAAAGGAAAATATATCAAAAAGACATAGCACCGTGACAGGGGGGATCATTTATATCAACACGGCTGCGAAGCACATAACTCGTTTTGTACATGTCGTAAGCTGGGTCTGTAGTAGGCACAAGAGAAAGGAAAAGCGGAGGATGCTAGACGGTATGAAGAGAGCGATCAAGTGAATTCCACTCCGTGCTGCTGCTGCCTCTCTTGTCGGGTCCGGGCTCGTTCAGCACGTCTGCGGCGACGATTGTTCGCGTACGAGCCGCTCATCTCAGTACCGGTATATGTAGGCGAAGTGACACTGCCTGCTCCATATGGGATGGTAGAAGGCGCAGGAATGGGAGGAGGTGGCGGCATTTGGCTGACTTGGGAGGGCGGTGCGCCCCATGAGGATGCGGGCATGCTGCCTGAAGGTGCCATAGATGTCTGTGGAGGGGCAAGTTGAGCAGCAGCAGCCGCCTGTTCACGTCGCATTTGTTCGTCTTGTCGACGTTCTAGTTCTTCAACGCGACGCCAGCGGTCGTAACCGGCATCTTCGTTGCCAGACAAAGAACCCGCACTGCTGTTGCGACGTCGAGAGTTTCTCCGCTCTCTGCGACGAGCCTCGCGGCTCGCGGCCGCTTCTTCTTCGGTCAGACGACGGAGTGTCACATGCCGTCCGTCATTGTGCATTTTCACTTTCACGGATACCGGCGGGGAGGCAACGTCGTCCTCTCGGCGCCGGCTGCTGCTCCGATTGCGACGGGAGGCTGCATCTAGTGCTGCACCAGCGGCCGCACCTGATGCAAATTCTGCTCCATCATGGGCGAGGGAGTGACGCGAGGGAGGAGCTTCAGGCCTTAAATCACCAGAGAACTGTTGGTGGCTCGGGGGCATAGGCGGCATATCTGATACAGCGCTGTGGACAGCGCCGGAGGCGAGAGGCTCCGCAGTAAGAAGAGATTCTCCATGTCCATGTGATGCGTGTCGGGGTGGAGGACGGGATAGGTCGGTTTCAGTGAGATCACTCTCACTGTACGAACTGGCCCTTCTTCGTGGGTAGAAACTTTCTCCCGCCTGTGGACGTCGTCTGCTGTTTGCTCGCTGCAGCGCCTCGTCCTCATATTCTCGGCGCTTGATATCCTCCAGACGCCGTTTCTCTTCATCGTCCTTCTTACCGCGACTGAACAGTCGCTTCACGGCAGCAAAAGCACCGGCACCCAGAACAGCGTCTCTGATCCCATGAGAAGCATTTCGCTTGGGAGGCTCCGTGAAATATGTGCTGTTGTAGTAGTAAGACGAGCCTGGGCTTTGGGCCCTGCTTGGCACACGGCTCGGCGGTCGATTAAGGGGCGTGTGATGGGTCGGCTCCGGCCGACCATCTTCCATCCTGCTGAGAGATTCATCCGTGTGGCTAGTACTGCGCGAATGCGCAGGTCTATAGCGGCCCGATTCAGCATCGTCTTCTCGCTTCTTTCGACGGTCCCAGAACTTCTTGGCCATCAGAGCAGCCCCAGCAAGTGCGCCAATCTCGAGGAGTTTCTTGCCGAAACCACCACCTCCACCACCGCCGCCACCACCATGATGGTGGGAAGATTCATCCGAATATTTCTCATCGGAAATAGATGTGCGAGAGTCTTCATAAGCATGACTTGGGTGGCGACTGCTTGTACGTCGGCGAAACATTGAAGCCAAGCCAGCACCTGCGGCGCCGGCGGCGAGAGCTGCTCCTGTGTGATTGCCATGGTGCTCTGAAATTTCTGAAGGCCCTGTATAATGACTGCGATCACCACCGAGCTCACTTCCCATGGGATATCCTTCGACATCATATCGGTAAGAAAGTACAAAGTAAAGGACCAAGTAGCCGAAAGCTGTCAGCGCGAATAGGATGAAAAGGACCTTTGGCGAACCGTAGAGGGTGAGTCCCAGTGGAATTTGAGCAATTCCGAGAAGTACAAGAGTACGACCCAGCCACCGGTGAAACTAAGGTATGTTAGGAGAGCCCATATATCCTTCTTAGGGCATCACTTACCACTAGTTTCAAAGGAACGTGGACTCGCTGTCTCTTACTCTCCTTCTTGTGCAGGAACCAGCCCCACAGCACCTGGAAAATGACCAGAACATAGATTGCCAGGCCAATTCCATGATGGGGGTTGGTTAGGCTTCTTTCCGGCCCAACAGCAAACCACCCAAGCACAAATACTACCGTGGTCAAGAGCAGGGTAAGTACCTGACACCAAGCATGTAATTTGAATGCCCAATAAGGATTGAATCGGGAGTAGTATCGGATTATGAATGTTGATGTTGGGACGATGCCCAAGAAAACGATGGCTGCAATGACGCCGTGCGCGATGATTATGGAATGGTACCCGGCCATATCCTTGAAACGGTTCCCCATGCCTGTAAAGTGTCAGTGATTACAAGATAATCGAAAATGTATGGAACATTATCAAAGGTAAATTGTTGGCGTGCCAGACTAACCATTGTATCGCATCGTCTCAAAGTTGACCCCCATCAAATTGGGCAGCAGGAAGGTATCTCGCCCAGAGTCCCAGGTGCCATCGCCAACATGAAGGGTATTGGATGCATACGTGCTGCTTCCAGCGGCGGCGAGGTCCGAGTTTGACATTTTGCCGATAATTCTCGAACGACAACGCGATATTCAGTCTGGAATGTCGGATTTACCGGAGATCTTTCGAGATCTCCCGATCTGAAGAATGCACCATGCGATAACGAGATCGGGATTTAACTGGAATGCCCAATGACAGATGGCCCAATTAATTGTATGTTGACCAGTTTATGGCAAAATTGATCGTGTTACAAGATCTAAGTAGGGTTCGAAAGGGTCGTAGAGTAGCGGTCGAGGCGGAGCGCAAGGAGAGGGAGGAAAGAGAGTCGTACGGATTCGGAATGTGAGGTTAGGATAGGATTGAAAAATCGCCCAACAACGCAATTGATATGAAATAGGAAAATGCACGTCGTACAGGCGCCTCGGGCAGAGAGGAATCACAACAAGAGGCTGATTCCCCCGGTCTTCTGTTTTCCTACAACACATTACCGGGCCAACCAGTCGCTGACTCAGTATTGGTATTGTGACCGCCTTCCAAATTCAGCTAGGATTTGACTCCCGAGGTCGTTATCTTATCCGTCTTATCCTCAGCTGATCTTATCACAAGATTGCGTGCGAATGGAGCTCGAATCGTCACATTCCACCTTCTCCTCTTCCCCCGCCTGATACTCCGGAATGAGTACCCTCAATCTAAGATGGCTCCTCAACTAGAGATCTTTATTAAAGCATTGTCCCGGTTTGTGAACTCCTATTCGCACCCGAATGTCACCGGCATCATGAACATGACTGACCAATTTCTAGCCTTTTAGGATGGGCATAGTAAGTCTACTTGTTGATTCCGAGGTTATGGCTCCTGTGAAACTTGAATTGATGGCTAACTCGAACGCAGCATGCTCTGCTGGTCGGGGTCTTTTTATCCGCAGCCCATCACCAACTGGAAACGCAAGTCCACCATCGGCTTATCCATTGATTTATCTACTATAAACCCTCTGGGCTTTGTCTGCTATGCGATATATACCTCTGTGTTTCTATACTCGCCCGTCATTCGATCACAGTATGCGGCCCGTCACCCTGCCTCGATCGAACCCACCGTCCGGTTTAACGATTTCGCATTTGCGGCCCACGCGGTGGTATTGTGCATTATACTGTACACACAGTTCTGGCCTTTCATCTGGGGGTTCCACGTTCCCCGCTTTCAAAAGATCAGTTGGACAATGGCAGGGCTCTTTTGGGGGTCTGTCTTGACTCCTCTGGTGGTTACGGCGATTGTGTTGGCGCAAAGTCCGGACGGAGGATATGATCCTTCCACTTGGGCGTGGATTGACGTGGTAGGTGAAATATGCCCCCCCCCGCTTTCAATTTCTCAACCACGGGGACACCACAAAACAAAGCTAAACCATTCCAGACCTACTCGTTTTCCTACGTCAAACTCCTGATCACCATTGTGAAATATATGCCTCAAGTGGCGCTGAACTACAAACGCCAATCTACAGTAGGATGGAGCATTGGAACCATTCTTCTTGACTTGGCTGGTGGTGTTCTTTCAATGCTTCAACTGGTGCTTGACTCCAGCCTTCAAAGTGACTGGAGCGGTATCACCGGCAACCCGGTCAAGCTACTGCTGGGCAATGTTACAATCTTCTTCGATGCAATATTCTGCATCCAACACTACGTCTTGTACCGAGATACCCCTGAACCGAAGAGAACACCTGGTCCGGGCGAGCAATCGCCCCTCTTGGTCGGACAGGATGATGCTGTGAGAGATCGGGTATGATCCAAGGCGCACAAAGAGATACATGAGATGAACCTAGTGACCTTGGGGCCGAACTTGAGACATTAGAGATATGTCTCTATTTTTGTAGAAGCAGTGCAGTCTGACTTTGGATCTTTGAGACATTGTGGGGGCGGTAATTCTGACCACCAAACATCTTAGCCCTAGGGAGATCTTGGCGATCTGAGCATTTGGGGGTTCAGTATAAGCCACGATTTAGATACATGATAGACCGACCTATTAAGGAGTTGATGCTGCTTCTTTTTCTTTTTTGGATATGAGACACACTGCTATGGAATCTTATTCTTAGTCCGAAGATATCCGGTCTCACAACCAGCTTACAACGTACAACGTGCCATTCTAGAAAGCATCAGGCCATGATTTCCTACGGCTAGAAACCCCCAGACAACCTGTCGCAAAATTCAATAGTTGCTATTCACGCAGTGACTGGATAACAGGCCCAGAGCCACACTGAGGCTCACGCCGATCATATTGTAGCCGACACCGCTCCTCGGTTTGAACGGCCCCCGTATTTTGGTCCCCACCGAACGATGTGAGTGGTCCAAAAAAGGGATAAGCACAAACTTATCATCACTTGGCCAATCATGAAAAGAAAACGGTCAATCCACAATGCACTAACGGTGCTAGCCGTCGGTGTCAGGGCTCCTGGCATTATCGGAGCTGAGCCTGAATCCAAGGTTCCCAGATTCAATATGAGCTCACTTCCTACCATCTGCAATACCCGGTTTGCGTAATGATCAACTATACGGAATAGCCCTAGAGCGAAATATGTCTGCAAGATATCAAGCTCAGCTCCCTACCTGTAAGATACCCCGCCACGCGAGAGATGCTACCTTCGGCTTTAACGTTACCTCCAAGCTGACTCAACCTTGAGAAACTGGAATTATAAAATGATGGAATTGAGGAGTCGGAAATTATCAACATGGCACGGGGATTATGTGTATAACTTTGGGTTTCTCTTGTGTAATGTGGCCATAATAGTGAGGCCCTGGATATCTATGACTGTAAGCCAGTTCCACGTGTTTATAACGAACATGTACAAAAAAGGCATAAAAGATCTTACAGAATACCACAACACCGTTCCTGGTCAGACCTGGCGCCCTGGGCGTCTCGTGGCTTTCTAATGGCCAATAATACGAGCACACAATGCGGACCCCAGGAATATCATACTTAATGCATGAAACCCTAACCTCTGGCAATAATCTGCCGGTCTTGGTCTAGCCAACCTGGGAATGTACTATGTACAGACCCATGTTGTCATCTTTCAGCCCTACTTTGATGAAAAACAATAATTATACAAATGAGAGCCCAACACCTGCAAGCCCTGATTGGGTCGAAGATCATCTCTCAGAAGCCAGTAGAACCCCCGGCCCCCGGTAGTCCATTCATTCTGAATCAACTTGAATCAACCTCAGAGCCAAGGGAGCGATATCGACTGCTCATTTGACAAATTACCAATAATAACTGGCCGGGATGATTAGAAATTTAATGTTCTATATCGAGCATGGCTGTATGATCAACGTTTCAACTTCTTCTGCGGAACGCCTAGAAGTTCAGGATTACAGCACTGCCTCCTCGACATAAGAGGGCCATAAATAATCTACTGCCGGTTACGTCTTAGTCTAAAAGACAAGTTCAGCTCTAAATCTGCCAAAACTCTATAACCCTTTGGCTTCTCGATCTTATCGGGCAACAATCTCCAAACGCATGGTTCAAACATCCTTTATAAGAGCGAAATCGTACTAAGCACCGAGTGATATGCAAGAGCTGTTTCCTCCAACCAGCTTGAGTACTTCGACTGGGTGTCTTCTTTTCCATCCTCAAAAGAACCCTCATTCCACAACATCATCTACATCCCTAACATCGCCAATATGTACCCTAGTCGCCAGAAGTCTAAGGGGACGTACAACACTATGCCAAATGGTGCTGGTTACTCGGAGTCCTCAGAGCTCCAATGTATTGGAGTTCTATACGATGTCCCCACCACCGCTCCATCCAACTCTCACATATCCGCCCTTCAGCAGATGAACTCTATGAGCTCACAGCTAGACCGTCGGTCCTTCCTAGCCCCGGGGCATTATCCCACCAGGAGAAGGGAATCGATAGACACTGATACAATTGGCTCTCAATACGCGTGGTCCACTGCATCTAGCCCAGGCATACTCTCGGACTCTCCTCATATGCCCACCTGTGAGACCTCCGTCTGCCCCACCACAACACCCTTCATCCAAGGCTACTATCTGCAGGAATCTCTACAGCTTGCTATGGGCAGTCAGGGCATGTCGGGCTATACTCCTCAGCAAATTGACCAATGGTGCATTGAGAGCGAACCAGCTGAAGACTTCTACCAGGCACAGCCCTTCCCAAGCATGGGCTCTATGCGCTTTGAACCGTCAGCGGGAGTACAATCAGAGACCTACCCGACATTCAACAACCAAGTCAACACTGCGAACGAGCAGTGGCTCCCTTGCCCATCCCATTCCTCTGATCCGATTCCAGAAGCCTTCTTCTCAGTTCCCCGATCCGTGTCGGTTCCCCAATCAGTCCCAGCTCCAACAACCCATCTCTACCAATCCACCACTACGGCCACCTCAATCTCGTCGTCACCACCACACTTCCTCTCCGACCCAGACTCCCCGCCAGCCGCACCAGGCTCAGCCTCCGGCTCAGGGTCTGGCTCCAACTCAGGTGACCTAAGCAACTACGGCATCCCAACGGGCGACGGCACCTGGCGCTGTGCCCACCCAGGATGTTCCTCACAGGCTGTATTCCATCGAGGCTGTGATCTGAGGAAGCACTTCAACCGACACCGCAAGTACCTCTTCTGTCGCTATGAGGGATGTCCTCAGTCTGCGAAGAATGGTTTTAGCAGCAAGAAGGACCGTGCTCGTCATGAGGCGAAGCATAATCCTGGTGTGCTTTGTGAGTGGGAGGGCTGCGGGAAGGTCTTCAGTCGTGTCGACAATATGAAGGATCATGTGAGGAGGATTCATCGGAAGGGGGAGAATGGAAGGGCTTAGTAGTCGGTATTACTATGATGACTATGATGGTACTTTTGATTCATGTTTACTTTTGCCACGGGCTTTTTTTGCTGTCTTGCTTGTGCTTTGTGGCTTCTAATTGGTTTTTTTATGTATAATATTGCTAAAAAGGCAGAGGGAATCGGTTGTTTAGCGAGGACTTAAATTTCGCTTCACACTTTTTGAGAAATGCTAGACCTATACAGAATGATGTAGAGATGTAATTCTAGAATTGACCCCGAGCATTGCCGAATAGTCTACTGCCGTTGATTCTAATTTTACCGCCAAACGGAGCCCTAGGCCAGACTAACATCATAACCTGACCAAACCTGACAATAGGAATTATTGCAAAAGCGACTGCGTATGACCTCCTTATGTATCCAAGACGTTTATGCAGAAATAGACCAGATGAAACGCGTATTTCTCCTAGATCTGGATTCTAATAATAGTGCAAAATACTCATTTTTCTATCAAGGAACTGTACTGCACAATGTCTGACTGATCAACCTTATACTAGTCCACTGCTACTCAGTTGAGGCTATGTGCAGTAGCGAAGAGCAGACATACAGTCAAAAACACAAATAAATGCAGGGATCGCCCGATTTCTTTTTCTATCCAGGGTATCCAGGTAAAAAGGTCCTTCAGGTCTGTCTGTAAGTCTGTGGACCCCGAGCAATGATCCAAATCATCGCCTTTCTACAAGACCAGACTTATACAACGAGGTGTGCCTTTGCCGAATTAGAGCCCTATCAAACGCGCCTCCGCACGTCGGTTGCTACCAACTACCATATACTCAGCGAATTAACAGCCTCGAAACACCCTCCTCGAATCGTAAGCGACACAAGCCATGCAAATTGTACAATGTCGACATGGTACAGCGAAGGTTATCAGCATCGTGAAGCCGGGCGCCATGGGACTAACCCGAGCCCAGCATATCACACCGACGCCCTGGGCGAGTGGTCAACCCAACGATGGCTACACAAAGGTCAGCCAACATACACCAATCAGTGCCTTGAGCAGCAGCAAGTTTCCTGGGCGACCAGGAGCTGCTACGAGCTGTTACACTATTCAATCAAGGAGACGGTATAGGTAGCATTCCAAGGGTAAAAAAGAAATCTCACTGACTGTCAGCTATGTGAAACTTCTAAGGTTTGGGAAACCACGGTTCCGAGATTTCAAGGTTTCAGCTTCGCACGTGTTCCAAGGTTGAGGTTGGTCTTAGAAGCTTAAATCTCAACTCTATTTGGAGCGTGCATGGACCCGGTCATTCAGGAACAAAGGCAATTTATTATAAACTCTGTCTGTAGCTATTGACTTTGAGAGATATAGGGCCTACGCAACACAGTCGAAACCAAGAAATGCAAGAGACACATCCATAATTCGTGCAGATAGCCCGTCAGTCGAAGGCAAAGTTCTCGCCATGCGTGTAACATCCCTGAGCGAAACTTTGCGAATTTGCAGTCCGATTGAAGCAAAAGTTTCCTGGAGTCCAAGAACCCAACCAAGCAGGATTTCCAGAGACAGTAGCGGATATGGCAGACTTGTTCGCAGCAGCATCACCATCCCGGAACTCTTGCAACCACCCGGTAATGATCGACCGAACAAGCCCGTAACCCCCATCCGCGTGACCACTGAACTTCGTCATGTTGCAATGATCAGCATTGATACTACAGTTCTCATAGCCTCGCAGAACAGCTGAGTGCTCTTCAACGATTTTGCCCACTATATCGTTCATGTTCTTCCCTTCGTAGAAACAGAAGACATTGAGGGAGAGGTCTCCGCGACGGAGCATAGACTGGAACTCGTTCGCGACTCGTTGCACGTCATTTGAATCCGGATGGAGAGCCCCGACCATATCTTTGTTTGCGGTGTGGACTATGTTTATGCCCTTTGCGAGTTTCTCTCGGTAGGAGGCGAGCGAAGACCCGTATTGCGGTGTGCCCATGAAGATTATTCCAATGGCGCTTGATGATATCCCCCATAGTCCGTCTATGGAGTTGCTGAGGATCAGGGCTTGTTGGCATACTAAGCCGCCTAGACTGTGCGCGATAAATAGGATCGGTCTGCTTGAGCAGTCGATTCGTTGGCTGACTATTGCATAAGCCAGGGATTGGCTATGGTCGTAGAGTCGATCTGAGAAGGTAATCGATGTGAAACTGAATATGTCGATGTCGTAGCCGAATGTCATGATGCGTGCCTTGGGCAAGTCTTTCGAAAGAAGATCTCGGGGCCATAAGGTTCCGGTTTCGTGAGTCCACGTTCTCTCACGGTTACCGGTCAATCCATGAACAAAAACAATGCTAGTTCAGTGGAGATTAGCTTAGGTGTCTTTCAGCTCTGGGTGCATCCACTTTTGGCTCCCTCTTGAAATAGAGGATGAACTCACTCCAGGTCAGCATTCGGAGGATCAGATAGTACCTTCATCCCAATTGCACCTTCTGTGGAGTACCTTGACATTATTAGCTCGGTAAATTATTTCTATCTCGAAATCTTACAGAACGTGTTCTGGGACACCGGGTTTCATCTTGCTCCTGAATAGCGACAACCTCATAGTGCCGGACTATATATGACCTTGGATCAAATACGCGAATGGAACGAATATCCAGAGAAAATAGCGAGGTAGAGCCGAGACAACAGACGACCCGGAAATGAGCGGGCGAATCGTAGGAGAATTTTAAAACTCTTAATTCTACCTGTTAAGCGCCCTCTTCTCGAAAACATACTACCCCTGTCCGGAGCTGACCAACCGCACTGCATTACACAATGTCTTAAGTAAACCACATGTCTTAACACCGTCCATTATACGTCCATATTGAAATTATTATAGGTGACACAGAAATATCCCGATTGAGATGGCTGCGAACACGCACTTCCATGAGAGGATATCGGGCCGGAACATGGTGGTAGCCCCACAGGATCAGGCACAGAACTCCTTAATCAACTATATAAATGGTTAACAAGCTATTGGTGCATAATTGGGCTCGTATTGGACAGTGATACTAAGATATCGCAGACTTGATTGTGATTCCCGGCCGCGAGGGTCAACATGTTCAGGCTTCTGTGCGTTTGCCTACAGATAATAGGGATAATTGGGCTCTCATACTTGACAACCTTGATGATTATCGCTTCCTCAATAGGAGCCGTGGACGTATTTCAGACTTAATTTTTGGGTGCTTCTTTTACAAAAGTCTGCAGTCGCTAATTCTCTCCTTACTACTTCTAGAACTGGGACCGATGCCAACTACGCTTCCTACACGTACAATCGGCAAGCTCACTGTGGCTAGCAAGCAACCAAAGCCTAATCTGATGTAGATGTATTGACTATGTACCTAGTACAGGGGTAGGAAGTTGATTCGATTGTGGCGCAAGTAGTAGACGGAAGAAAGGTCCTAGGCGTGGATCGTCGCGCCACACATCCCTGATAGGAATGCACAACTTGGCGGCTGGGAAACTTTAACCAACATAGTGAGGTCATGGAACTGATGGAAAAGTGCGTGGAATTTAGGGAGTTCCGGACATAATTCTAATTCCCACCAGGTTTATGGAAGGGCCGAAAGGTTGAATCTCAGGAAACGAAGTATCAAATCGGATTGATTATACGCGCATTTAAACTGAAGCCGGCGACACAAATCTCCAGTTATGGTGCATAGGGGAAAAGACTTCTATCTGAATGTGATTTTTGATATGTTCCAAGTAAAGTGAAGGAGGAATTTCAATAGATGAGGTTTCATCCCCAATCGAATTGATCAGACAAGATGGAGAAATAAGATAAAATAGTAAAAGAATTAAAGAATTAAAGACTCACAACGCTCCAATTAAACGAATGGCCCATGTAACATCATGAATTTCTAACAATGGACAGATGGTATCGTTGCAGAAGTACCAAAACAATAGTACCCAAAGGTAACAAAAGAGAAAACAGCAGAAAGGTATCACAGCTGAGAAATTCGTCACGCGTAAAGTTGCGAAGTTGCCTCGAAGAAGGATTAGCATGTCGTACTGAGGCGCTAATCTGGAATCTGGAACACCCGGGGGAGACAGGGTTGAATGTAGGAGAGAGTGGGGGTTGAAGAGGGTACACGCCGGTCGGAACGGGTGGGATAGAAAGAACATGGGCAAGAAATAAACGGGGTGCAAATGCAAGATGTGAGAATCGAAAAGAAAAGAGAAGCGAGAGGCTAAAGGTTCATGTATTGTTCATCCTTCGTTTTCTCCCGCGGGCGCTACCAAGCGGCCTTTGCGCGAGAACCTGTCGGAGAATGGGATCGTCTTTGTTTTTGTCGACGTGGTGTACACGGACATGTCTATGTGAGTGTGAGTTCAGCTGATGTTAGATTAAGTGAGGCTCAGACGTAGCACGAACCGTTGAAGATTGTCGGGTCGCGGGTATTTGTGTTGCTGGTCAGGACAGAAGGGACAGACGTAGCCTGGGGAGTTATGCACGAGGCCATGGCGCATCATTTCATTCTTGCGCTTGAAACCTTTCCCGCCTAGTGCACGAGGACAGCCCTCTACTGGGCAGAAGTGTGGGCGGTCTTGTGAGTGCACATTTGCGTGAGAGCTGCTATTGCGTTAGGTGGGGTTTTCACTTAAGTCGTCTGTGGTCTTACTTGAGGAGATACTGAGTCTGGAAGGGCGCGGCAGTGCATCCAGGATGTGTACACTTATAACTGCCCATGGGGCCCCCATTGGCTTGGGGGGTGGACGCAGCGAGCGAATGCCGATCACCCATACCAGCGCCAACCTGTTCCGTGGGCGTAGGATAACTGGTCGCCGGGCTTTTGGCAGTCATGGGGGAAGCCACGTACGGGGTCTGGACGGACAGCATCTCAGACTGGGGTGGTCCACGCCAGAAGGATGAGTGCGAGGCCGGAGAAGGGTTGGTAGATGATTCCTTCACGCTCACGGGCGAAAAGTGAGAAAAAGGAGTTGCAGGGATAGAAAATTTTCCCGGGAAAGCGCGGTCGAATGGAGAATCATTCCCTGATGTAGTTGATCCGGGACACGAGGAGAAGGGGAAGGGTGATGACATTGTATTGGCTGGTGGTGCGCCGAAGTCTGACAATGCGCTGAGAGCTTTGTGGATAGACGGCAGCGTTTGTTTAGTGCTGCTGTCGGGAGATTTTGCAACACTTGGTCCAGAGGATGGTTGGATTGATGGGAGGGGAATTGGAGGCTCGCTTTCTGGGGAGGTTTGAAGTTGGGGCAAGGGCACTTGTGAGAGTCTTCGGCTCGGGTCACTTAATGAGTGAAGTCGCTCTCTTGGAGGAAACTCATCTTTAATCTCAACATTTGGTTGTTTAGGCTTTAATGGGACTAGGTCCAATTTCATCTGGGGGGATTTCTTCTCAACCTCATTATATGAGGCCGAGCCTGACGGTGCCTTGAGTTCCAACGATTCCTTTAGTGGAGGATCATCCCTTAAGAGTAGATTTGGCTTCTTTGGATCTCTGGGATCAAAGTCGGGCGGTTGTTTATGATTTTTTAGATTCCCAGATAATGGTTCCAATGGAGAATTCCTTGCCGACGCGGCAATCTCAGGGTGGTACGGAGCTAGAAACTCCATCAGCACTCGGTCGCCCTCACGGGTTGAGTTCTGAGGTTTCAGCTGGTTGGGCTTACGGGAACCCACTGCATCGGCATCTTTATCGCTCGAGGGAACAAACGGTGGTAATGTTTCGTTCTCTCCATAGTTGGGTTTCATCGCCTCCAGAGGAGGCGATCGATTAAAAGTATCATCCGAATCATACATAGCGGATGTCATAAAGAAAGTGGCAGATGCATCGGCCACCTCCCCTTATACTTGTTGTTGGTCTGATGGATTGAATTGACGATCACACATCAGAACTGATGATAAGTAGCCTGTAAGATATGGTTAGAGAGGGGGTTATTGTAATTGTGACTCCGATGATCGGATGAACAAAAAAGCACGATCTAAGTGGATAGAATAGAAAAGTAGAAAAGCAAGCGATTCCGACACAATGCGACTGCCCGTCCTGCAGAGTGTCGAGATGGGGAGATGAGGGGTTGTCAGGTCAGGATGACCCGGAGAGAATAAAACCAAAACAAAACAGGTGGGTTGAAACCACGACAGAACTCAAGTAGGAAAACAAGAAAGTAATAAAGTAATGAAAAGCAATAAAAGCAGAAAAGCAGAAATGAAGAAATGAAAAGAGAGACTCCAAGCTCTAGACTACCCACCTGGGCAGTTTCGAGGTCTGCAGAAAGTGACTTACCCAAGCGGAAAGGTGGACGGGTAGTGAATGGGTCCCGGGATGAGGCTGAAAAGCTCCGATTGTCACTGCGCCATCTGCAGATGAATGATATCACCCGGAAGGAAGCGTGCAGGTAGGAAACTGTACAGTAAATCTTGGAGGGGAAGAAAAGAAAAGGAAAAAGCTAAGGGAGAAGTTGCAGGTTTCGGGAAAAAAAAAGAGTCTAAAGGGTGAGATAATACCACGTTCTACACGTGCAAGTTAGGGCCCAGCAATATCTACCAGTATAATGCCAGTCTCAGATGCAAGGAAAAAAGAAAAAGAAGAGAGGAAACATAGAGAAAAGGAGAAATAGACGTTTCAAGGAATATTCGAGGGGGGGATGGGAAGAAGAAAGACATGCGGCTCTCCAGGGCTCTCATTTCGGGCTCCACAGAATAATAGATTACGGGAATACTTTACTGTGACTGGTTTATAACGGAGTTCTATTATTATTCGGGTTTTATATTTCCCGATTGCTGTATTTTATTTTGTCTTTTTTGGTTATTTGAATCCATTTTGCTATTTTGTGTTTTTTAATCTCCAGTATGATAGTCCGCTTCAATCTTCAACTTCTTCTCTGCTGACCATACCCTGACTTACTTTTTCCTCTCCTCGGAGCATTTTAACCTGGTCGCACATAAGCCAAGAAAAAAAGACCAGGGAAAAAAGAAAAAAGTCTCCACCGCTACTCTCTACTATTCAGGCTCCACCATTAAACTCGGAGACAACAACCGGGGGCAAGTCCTCTCAGAGTTCCCCTCTCTCTATCTCCACTCCCCCAGTCTGTTATACCCGGCTAGGGAAACTGCACGAAGGAGGGCCCACACGGTCTGTTCGCTTTTCTTCCATTCCTCTTTCTGTCCCGCCTTTTCGTCCTTTTTATTTTGCCTTTGCAACGTCAGACTCAAGTCTGCGCTGGCATATGCACCTG